GCATTTGGGAGAACAAGTAGTGATTCACGATGCTAGGAATGAACTGAAAAAACGACAGCTTACCTTTGCTAATTCGGTGAATAGGTTGCCGTTTAGCCATTCCTAAAACAGGAAATTGAAAACCATAAGGCAGTAGTTCCACGTTACCTCTGACTGATTCTTTGACGTCATCGCGGTATCCAACGGTCTAGCAAACATATCAGGAAAAGCAGAAGCGGTTGAAGTACTTTCTGCTGCAGTAAATTCAAAGGGTACCTACATCGCAAGGCATTTGCTTAGAAGCGGTGCGCAAAGGCGGTATGACGCAAATGCATAAACTCATCAGAACAAACTAGAAAGGCGAGACATCGGCAATGTTGCCCATCGCTGATAAGTTACAAACAATAAAAAAGGCTGTCATAAAAAAGTCCATTAAACATATCAATAAATTTATTTAATATACCCGATTGAAACACCGATCTTAGAATTGATTGCCTGGAGGCACAGTGGTTTAAACCACAGAATTGAAACTTGCAAATCGCCTGCGAGTGTGCCCTCGAAGTATTTTCCAGATTCAGCAAAAAATCAGGCATTCAAAAGCATCTTCGATTAAATATATACTGAGAGAAACGCAATACACGGAAAAAGAAAACTTCAAGTCGGACAGTTAATCAATATTTCTTTCATAAAGACGAATAATTCTAAAACCTAAAATCTGTCTAGAGTACGCGATGATGACAAGAACTAATCAGAAAATGGCAAAATTCAATAGACAGTAGAGTCTGGTACAACAGAGTAATGCGAAATATTCACCTGAGAAAGTGTTGCGTTGTAGATACATGAAGAACGAATAATTGGGTGCAGAAAGTCGCTGACGGTCATAACGTAAGAGAAATAGCTGGTGACAATTTGCCGGTCAGTTTCACAGATCTTTATGATCTAAAAATAAACACAAATAAGAAGAAACTGTTTTTTGATATAACAGTAATGTCAACATTTACATCGTTATGAAGTTTAAAAAACCTAAGAAATAATATGCCTTCCTCCTGCTGAGAATGTAAATACTATGGTTTATTTCAAATCATGTGGTTACTTTCAGTTGCAAGAGTTAATGCATGAAGTCAACAACCAATATTTCAATGCTGCTGTTGAACAAGTGCCACAGACGACGTTGCATGTATCGTCTGTATCCTGAAGAACAATTGTTTGTATTCAATATGAAATGTCAGAGTGATACAGCAGAACAAGCAAAGAAAAATGAGTTGCACAAAACTCTTCTCACAAACATGTAGTACCTTTTGCAGACTTTTGCTAATGGCATTCAGAACGGCAGCAATGCATTCGTTCGTTGCTTTCAGCTTCTTTGTTGCTACAGGCAAAGAATGCTCAGCGGCTACCTTCAATTCATAGCTGCTGCTAAGCACTAAACAGAAAAATTTTACATACTTATAGCTACAGGCTGATACTGCATTTAAAAATAAGGAAAACTTCAAACCCATCAATAAATCTGACAAAAGAATGGTCATTTTTCCAGGGTTCACGCATGCGTAATAATTCATATTGGTAATAAAATCAGACTCAAGTTCATGCTCTATAAACAGTCACTTTTTCAAAAAAATATTTTCATCTGTTTCAAAAAAAGTCCTTTATAAACAACGATATGGCGCACCAAATAGCTCTACTCCAAAGATCAAATTCCTACCTTAAGTTTAGTAGCTGAAGAAAAAATTCCTACAGACTGTTCTAAATTATAGCCTGGTCTACAATATTTTCGCCTCTTACAATGATCGATCCCATTTATATGATTCATCTTTTGAACAAATAAATTTCCTAATGGTAACGAATAAGCAATTTCGATAAATACATTTCTCTGCAAATGACTACTGTTTGCCGATCTATAAACACAACATCCATACGCTTTTGCTTTTACAGCCTATCTCTACCGAGTGAGCTATCTACACACCCTATAGTAGAGGGCCATTGAAAATAGTCAGGGAAAGCGCAATACTCCCAGCATTACTTTCCACAATATCAGAAATAAAACATATTTCAAATGAAGCTCAGGAATATAAGTATATGCATATCAGGACTCCGCGGTATTTTATAGAACATTGAGTCCTAAATAAAGAGTTAAAATAGGATGTTCCACAAAAATGAAAAAAAACTTTATGCTAATTCCTATCTTTATTATCATAAATGTGCCTCCTCCCCAAGAAAAGCATGAAGAACAAAGATATGGTATTTGCATTCCTTTAATCCAAATATCTGTATACACTTAAATGTTATTTCCAGAAGAAGACTTCTCAGTTCTTTATAAGCCACACAACCCATCAGGCTCCATTCTGTATAAAAAATCACCGATCATTTAGCCATGACAGATTTCATGCTGCAATCGGATAAGCTTGACAGAATTTACTTTAGAGAAACATACAAAACCCTTAGTGCACGAATAAAAGAACATCAAAATGCCATTATGAGGAATCACAAAGAATTTTGGGACTGTAGTGCATTCACTGGAATATAAACATAAGTTCAATAGGAAAGACATCAATATAAATGACTGCGAATAAGACCTCTGGCCTTCTATTTAACAAGTTCTGCCAATTCCATTTAACAACGGAAAGACGAGCAGTAACTACACCAGCTCTACTGATATACGTTTCGCTGAAAAGCGATCACATATCTCCAATGGCTGTTGTTTCAGCTATATACTACTAACTCATTGTTCGTTCGGTTTTCATTCTTTTAAAGTTCCCCTAATTTTTCTTGCACATATGCATTTTATACATAACTCATCACATACATAACTGCTGTTTTATAATTTTTATGTATTTTATTGTTCAATTTACTGCTCAATCATTGTCATAAAGAATGACTGCTTATGTGTCAGAAATGTAACGTTGAATTAAAAGAAAAATTTTATGCGACTTCTAAGCCATTATCTTATAACAGATGAAAAACTCAGAGAAGGAATCTCAATCCAATATAATAATAGTTTGATAAATTTTATTCACTCGCTTGCTGTTCCTTAAAGAACGTCAAAGCATACGGTCGAAATGCGCCCAGTCTTAAGTATTCCAAGTATCCCGTTCATTGACATTGGGCGAAAGACAAAAGCTGATGACAAGAAACCGTTATCACAGTGTTGTCAATGTTTTGGCCACATAATACTGATCTTTCTGTTCACAATTCTACAATCTAAAAGCAGTGATCAAAAGAAAAAAAACAGTACTGAATAAATAATCAGTGCGAACTTACAGTTATTTGCCTACCAAATTACTACAGATGCGTTCCCATGTAGTTTTGACTTTTAATTTAATCTGAATCGGATTCAACGCACATGCGATGATTATGACCGAGAAATTTTCGTTTTTAAATTACGCACTGATGAAGATTAATTGTGAGACAAGAATTAATTTTGTCAAGGTTTAGAAAAAGTAGAATGTGCTGTTGAGGAAACAAATATCGAATGTAAGCATAAACTTAGCATTTTTCCATGTCTCCGATCAAGCAATATGATTTACCGTCTGCAGTGCGACTGCATGTCCGCAACAAATCCAGAATACGGTTGAATTGAAACTCTGACGAACCTGAGTCAATCGAAGGGGAAGAAGCAGACGCAGATGAAGAGAACTTTCTTACGCACTCCAAAAACTCTTGCAGGCGCAGATAATAATTGAGATTTTCTTCCGCGAGTTTTGTGTCGCACCAAGGCACTGCTGACTCTGCCTCAAGGCTAAAATGTTTAATACTAAAAAAGGAAACGAAAATTCAAGGTAAGCACTAACTAGAAAACTAATCTGGTTCTTAAAATTTATAAATGACAGTATTTCAGAAAATAGTATCTGATCGTGAAGGCAATTTAAATAACCAAAAGGTGCATTATTTTTTGACAAAGAGAATACTTTACCTCAACCACTGCATGAAATAATGAACTCTAAACAGTCTAAATCTCAATAGGAAGTAAATTTGTTTTAAATGGTGATGCAGCAAAGAACAGTCTGTTTCCTCTATATATTGGTATCATTATTATAAGCTGTTTGAAATGGTAGAGAGGTAAAATTCACTACATTTGTGTGGCTGTTTGACAAGCTTTTATACAATGACAGAAGGTATGCAGATTCCAGTTAGCCAGTAAGTTTTAAGACCGCTCATACTTTGGGATCACAGAGATAAATGAGTCCGGCACTGTCACCAAACGTTCTCCATCCACCCTCTACTAGCGTTTCGACTTCGGTTTCGACATAAGATAACTCTACTTTTGGGGCAGAGGCACTTACTTCAGGTTACTCGTGGCCGACCCCGAGGTCTCTGGCTAGTCCATTCAGCAAATAGTTGCCGTTTAGCTTTCCTTTCTGAAAGCATCGCAACGCGTGACCAAACCATCGCAGGCGTAATTTTTCAATTTAGAAATGCAGCGGTTGCACATCACGGTTCTTTAGGATATCTGAACTCTGGACCAGGCACAGACATGTAAGCCCAGCAATTGGTTTCAGAAAATTCATTTCAGCTGCTTGTACTCGGGATCGAAGTCTTTCAGTCATAGAATACGACTCAAGACTCTTGGTGAGCAATGGGTTGAAAATCGATTTGAACAAAGGCAGTCTAATCCTCAATCTCGGGTCGTCGTAATAACGATGCTTCGGGCTAGCCAACGAAAAACGTAGTTGGTCATCCAGTTTCGCCGGTCGAACTGTCCATCCCATTTCAATCACAAGTAAACACGACCCTGAGGATGAACCTCTCTGCCTGCTCCACTGCTTTCTCCGAATATCTGCAGAACGCAGAAAGGGAAGGGTAGGTTGTTGATTTTAAACACGCTCACATGAATGCGGGTAAAGTTGTATTCAGCTACAAACCCTTCCAAACAGCGCTGGAAGTCAATTTGTTAAAATTCAACAAGGCAAAATCGTCCGGAAACAATAAACATCTCGTGTTTACACCTCCTACGCTGACAGACTCGTCATCTTGGCTACACTGACGCTACTATCCATATACAACAGAAAAAGGGGAGTGAATAGAATGCAGCCTTGAAGGAGACCAATGCCAATGCTTGAATCGCCATTTCCTCTGGCGTAAAATATGCTATCAACACACAGGAACTGCATGACTCGTAGCACCAGGCCATTTACGACATACGTCTGCAAGCCCTTTCCCAGCTATTATTTGTAGCAATTATGTCTTTTCATACTGCATACAACAAAGCAAGGGAAACGGTACAGCGTTCAATCTCCGTCACAAGAACGTCAGAAACTCCTCCACTGGCCAAGTTAATCGCTTTTCAACTTTCCAAACTTGATAAACAAGTACCATTTTATGGGAAAGAGAGTAGGAGACTACACAACATAATTGCCTCATCACAAATGGATTGCGCAAGAGGGAACCCCAGAACGAAGGCGACGATATTGATCAAAAATGAACGCAACTCATTCTTGCTGTAATTTGAGACATGATACATGTCATGATGATGAACTGTGATGCACTGTTGTAAGAAGTTTTGGAAAAACTGAGAAAACTAAGTAAACAGTTGTTTCAAATTGATAAGAGCTTCGATTATGACCGACCTGATGGCGTACACCGATTTATTGTGATATTTAGAGCGCAAGAGCTAAGCATTGTGTTCGCTGGGGGTATTTTCGCCCACTGTATTAAAGCAGGAGTGCTTCAGAACTCTCGGAACTTTCCTAACGTCAATTCCGAAACGTGCTGCCCCATTCCATTCTGAACGCTACAGCCCCATGGCGGTGGTGTCAATCCGTCTCAAATTCCTCGAGAGGTTATGCTTGCCATTCATCGCTCACAACGCCGCTCCGCATATTGATTCATATCAATTTCAATTCTTCCATAGCCGTCGAACCCTGGATGCCGAGGTCACCTTAATGAATTATGTCGGTCAAAATCTACACGCCTGAAAATGCATTATTTATGCAGTTTTGACCGATTTCAATCAAGCGTAACAATCCAGCTAGACAAAGTGTTAGAAATTATTCTTGGCACAACCCCTATATAACGCGTATGTTGTTCGGTTGCTTGTTACTTCGCCGACCCCTTTTAACTGCCAGCCTCGGCCATCTCAAATCGACGACAATGCAGTGCAAAATCGGTCGTGCCACAGGGGTCATGTTTATCATGCACAGTGTTCACAGGAATAAGTTCGACAGTCTTACCGCTGTGGAAATCATATCATTGCGGAAAATCTTTTCACTTATCACGCGGAAAATGAAGTTTCAGAGACTGGGACCAGGTTTCAATTGGGTCTGTCCGCCTTCTTCAGCAGAAATTCACAATACGGCCAACACAGTGGAAACAGATTAATAATCTATTTTAAGAGTAGCCTTTGCCGTACAACCAACGCCGTTTAATCAAAAGATTAAAAATTTATTAATTACGTGGTGCAGAGTAGAAATTAACTTTCGAAGTCACAAAAATAGCAACTTTACTGGAGAGAAAGTTAAGTAACAATGATGCTTACCCTAAGAAAATTTCAGAAGGCTATTTATTTCTAAGAGATATTTTTTAATTATCCATGGGTGCCAAGTCGATTGAGCGGCATAATACAAAAAGTAATTTTAAAAGCTATTTTATAACGAAAGTATGGTAACACGAAACCTCTGACTTTAAAGCGCTTACCATTTTTTAAACCATATGCTGAACTTCGAAAAGCCTTCGACTACATCAGAAATTGCCTTTTGCACAAGCAACACATCTGATTTTTTCTAAACGAAAATCACTCAGAGAAGAAATGCCAAAACAATTTCTATACCATCAAACGACAGTTTGAGCAAAGATTAGACAACGCAGTATCCACCTGACCACCAAGTGTCCGACAGCTGTCCACGGCCCTAGGAAGCACGTTGCAGCACTGCAGAAACATTTAATCATATAGATAAATTATTAGACGACGGCTCAAACCTGTTTCACTTCAGAGCTAGTTTCTTCTGTCAGTTCGTCAGCAGGATATAGCCGTAGACGTGCATCGTTGTAAGAGAAGTAGTTCTGGGCGCTGAATGCAACAGTCTTAATTTCTACAGCGATGGCGCTGAGGACCCTGTAGATGTCATTTGCACTTTGCAGGTGTTGAACCGCACTGCCCCACTGATAACATTTTTCTAACTCTAAGTATCTGAATGTAAAGGAGGCAACTAAGTACACAAACGCACTTGCCTGCATGGCAGTGCGTGAAAACAGTATTTTACAATGAGTAAAAATCAAGGATCATCACAAATAGGATGTAAACAGAAAAACAGACGAAAGATTTTATGCATGTACTGCGCAACAGCACTTGCAGCACGAACAATCATATTTAAAACTGAAAGCGATGAAGGACGATGATCCGAAAGCAGTAACAGGTCATGAAAAAGAACGAATGAAACTGCAGACAGTTACGTAGCAAAAGTTTATTTTTAATGGAGAGAACTACTACTGCAGTGAAACTCCACCAAAATTTGACCGATCGTCAAAATATACGAAAAATACAGACAGAAGAGGAATGTCAAAAATCTCATTGAATCCGGTTTATTTCACAACTATATCATTCAACCGAGATAATAAATAGCAACTTCGAATGGAATAAATTATCAATAAAAATTGCCTTCGAAAGGCAGTCATTAAATGAAAACCATAAATGACATTTAACAACTAACACTGATAGCGAGAGAGACAAGTTAGAATATAATTAATTTTAGTGCTTAGTACACATCGTTAAACTTTTCCATAGGAAACAGAATTTGTTGGTGATCAAAACATTATCATTGTTGCAATAGTATCCAAGATTTTCGCCCGCAGATTACATAAGATAAATATTACACAATCTCGATTACTACTGGATTACAATTATAACCAATATCGTTTGCTAATATTAAAATTACATGCGCTGAATGAGAAACAATCCGCACAATATGTAGCAAACGTTGTTAGCTGGACTTCATAATCTAACGTCAGAGACCGAGTTGCAAATAAAGAATGACGCCCAATGACGGGATCGCTCGAATGGAAGATGTATGGCATAAAATATACTCTTGATCCGCTAACAAAATTGCGAAGGCGTGTCAGCAGCCTCGAATAGGTCGACTAATAAATCTCTCACAAGGGAGACAAGCGTAACCGCCTATGTTCACTCTGTTTTGATTCAGTTTATAAGGGTTAGAGATACTCGGACGAAAGGATGGCAGACCTTCGTACGTAGTAACACCAAAGAAAGGGCGAATAAATCATCATATGGCGTATACCTTATGAACAAATTATGTCTACGAATGGGCTGAAGGATGGGTGCAGTGTAAAACAGTGAAGATGCTCTTAGAACCACTACTGGAAGGAAAGCGCTTGACGTGTATCTAATTGATAGCCGATTCTTAAAAACTCTAAACAACTGTTACTGAATCTTAAATAAAGAAAGCTTAACGCTATTCTGTGCCCGGACAAAAATCAGAAAAATTGTTTAACAGATTTTAGATTGCTTTTTACAGTCGCCATATTATCGTAAAATTCAGTTCAACATACTATAGCATGTAAGCTTTATTTGCATCCAGTCTTATGGCACAGTAAAGCCATTCAATTTTCAAACTGCAGTTTACTAAAAAAGTGATAAAAGAACATTTCGATACAACATTAAAGGTGGTAAAAGGACTCACATA